GAAAACCTCAGCTCCAGATAAATGGCAGTCTGGAGCTGGAGCCTGGCAAATCGACCAGCGTTTCTGCCCCAATTGGGTGGTCGGGCCGCTTCTGGGCCCGCACGGGCTGCAGCTTCGATAATTCGGGCCAAACCGGGAACTGCATCACCGGGGACTGTGGGGGCCGTCTCAAGTGCGAGGGCATCGGGGGAGCTCCGCCGGTGTCCCTGGCGGAGTTCACTCTCGACAGCCCGCAGGACTTTTACGACGTGAGCCTCGTTGACGGATTTAATCTGCCCGTTTCCATAATACCGTCGGGCAGGTCGGGTAATTGTCCGCCGATCAACTGTAGGTCAAACTTGAACACCAATTGCCCGCCAAATTTGCGGGAATACAGTAGTGGCGGGCAGGTGGTGGGCTGTAAAAGCGCGTGCTTGGCTTTAGGGGGGGATCAGTATTGCTGTACGGGAAAGTACAACAATGCCCAAGTGTGTACGGCCACCGATTATTCGAGGTATTTCAAGGCGGGTTGCCCCACGGCTTATAGCTACCCTTACGATGACCACACCAGTCTTTTTACGTGCAAGGGAGCTCATTATTCTATCATATTTTGTTAGATCGTGATTACGCCTTTTTGAAATCACATTTGGCTAAACGATACTATTAAAAAAATAGAAGATATGAGCCGCTTACGATTTACTATCATATCAAAAAATCATGTTCATGTTGCATCTCTTTTTTCACTCGGATTATTCACCTTAATATTAGTATTAAGTTCAACATCGAACCATCTCCAATGTTCAATGTAATACAATTAATCAAATTAAAATATTATCCATTTGGCCGATATTAAAAAATAAAATAAAAAGAAGAAAGAAAAATATAATAATTAGATAGTTTAGAATTGGTAATGTATAATATTTTTCTCGCTTCCCTACATTGACTAACTGGATATGAAACACATTCGCGTACGTTACAGATATTAATTATGTTCTCATCGACACTGTATTTGTGATCGTATTGTACTTTGGATGATGTAAAGTTATGGGAAATGCTACGGTCCCGTTACAGACCCATTCTATCGAAATTTGTAACCGTTAGATCATTATGTAACCATCAGAGATATAATTGACCTAACGGTTATAAACCAAGACGGAATGGTTTCGTCGGGACCGTAGCATCTTCGGTAAAGTTATACATTACTACTAGTATATAGATTAGGATTAGATTTCATGTACAGTTGCTATAAGCAACTATAGGATATTTTGTAATATTAGAATTAATGTACAGTTGCTGTGTGCAACTATAGGACTTCTATGTAATTTACATTAATACCCCCTGTAACCCTAGGTATATATACATCATTGAACACCATTGTACACCATTATTCATTTTCCCGATTTTATGTTCAAGAGCAATCTTTCCTTTCATCGGTCTTCTCTCTCTCTCGATAATCTCCATCATCGATCTTCATAATCTGTAATCTGTAATCCAACATGGTATCAGTCGCCGGCAATTTGCCGTACACGTTTTCTGCACTCTGATTCTCCTTTGAAGATTCTCCATCTCTGAGAATCGCGTTCTATTTTTTTTAGTGTTTTCAGATCTGAAACCCGATCTATTTTTTTGATCGATCTTCGATCTATCGCTGTTCTATTTGGTCGATTTACTTAATCGATCTCAGATATTTTTCTAGTTTCACGATCTGTTACATTATCGCCGATCTATTATCCATCGATGGCTGCTGTTGCAAATCCGTCTGACGATCCTGCTTCTCCGTATTTTCTGCATGCTAGCGACAATCCAGGGGCGATCATAGTTGCAGAGTCCTTTAATGGCGAGAATTATGTCTCCTGGTCTCGCACCGTCCTCATGGCGCTCAGCGTGAAAAACAAAGGAGGTTTCATTGACGGTACAATTTTGACTCCTTCTCCTACTGGTAATCCTGTGTTGTATATGGCTTGACTTCGGGCGAATAATCTGGTTTTATCCTGGCTATTAAATTCTGTTTCAAAAGAAATCAGACAATCCTTGCTTTTCTTTACAAATTCCAGAGATGTTTGGGAAGAACTGAAAAATCGATATGCTATGAGTAGTGGTCCTAGGGTTTTTCACCTTGAAAAGTCCCTCAGCACGATTAGTCAAGGATCTCTTTCTATTACTCAATATTACAATGTTTTTAAGGGCTTTTGGGATGAGTACATTACTTATAGACCGATTTTTCGATTTCACTGTGGGGCTTTTACTACTTGCACATGTAACATTTTTGATGCCATGGCTGAGTCTCAAAATCAGGACTGTGTAATGAAATTTCTTATTGGGTTGAATGATACATATGCATCACTGAGAAGTCACTTTCTCTTATCTTCACCTCTACCCCCTCTGACTAAAATTTACTCACTCCTTCTTCAAGAAGAATCCCAAAGATCCTTAAACAACACCACCACAACTATTGATCATGGCTATGATAGTCAAAACAGCTCCATCCTACTTCAAACCACAATCTAAACCTACAGACAAACCACCTTACAAAAAGCCAAGAGCCAAATGCACTCATTGTGGTTATCCACATCCTTCTGAAAAATGCTACCAAGTCATTGGATACCCCTTTCACTAAACTGGTCTAAGGGGCCCCAGAATTCACCCTCAACATTCTGCAAACCTCACTCATACTACCACATCCACCCCTCAGCCAGAAAACCACCCATCTGATGCATCTGCATTGACTAATGATCTGTTTCATGAGTTCTTAGCCTTTCAAAAGACTCAGGAAGCTAAATCAAATATTGATCAGCCATCAAACCCTGTTGTTGCTACTGCCTTCCCAGTCTTCTCAGGTATATCTGATTCTTACTCTTGTTTGGTATCTGGTACTTTGTCTAAAAATGCATGGATACTTGACACCGGTGCCACTGATCACATGATCTGTGATGAATCTTATTTTTTTGTTTTGAAACCTGTTACAAATGTTAAGATAAACTTGCCAAATGGTGATGTTACTAATGCATGCTCTGTGGGAACAGTTCAACTGTCATCTTCTCTAACTCTACTTGATGCATTGTTTGTCCCATCATTTAAGTTTAATCTCATATCTGTCTCCAAACTTGCTTCTGCAAACAATTGTGTTGTTCAATTTGTGTCATCAATTTTACAGGACTTGACAACACATAAAATGATTGGTTCTGCTGACTTAAAAGATGGCCTCTATCATCTAACACTCTCTACATTACCTGTTCATTCCATCTCTGATGCTCATGTATCTTCTGTTTGCAATTTAAATATAACCTTACCTTTACCTGTAAATTCTGCCTCTGAGCATAATGTCTTGTGGCATAACAGACTAGGCCATCTTTCATACTCAAAACTGTTGCAATTACCTATATCTAGTAATAAATGTAAGTCATTGCAGAACTTACCATGTGATGTTTGCCATTTTGCAAGGCAAAAGAGACTTCCATTTTCTGTTAGTCAATCTATTTCTAATTCTATCTTTGATCTCATTCATTGTGATGTTTGGGGACCATTTTCTATTACTTTTCATGATGGCTATAGATATTTTTTAACAATTGTTGATGATTTCAGCAGAACTACTTGGGTTTGTCCTCTTAAGTCCAAATCTGACACAAAAACCTCTTTACAAAATTTTTACAAAATGGTCCTCACACAATTTGAAAAGAAAATAAAAGTCCTTAGATCTGACAATGGCACTGAGTTTTTTTTGCATGACTTTTACTCTGATAATGGCATTATCCACCAAACCTCTTGTGTGGAAACACCACAAAATGGCAGGGTTGAAAGGAAGCATCAACACCTATTACAGGTAGCAAGAGCTATACTTTTTCATGCACAATTACCATTACCTTTCTGGATAGATTGTGTTATGTCTGCTGCACACATCATCAATAGAATTCCATCTGTCATTTTGCAAAATAAATCTCCATATGAGCTGCTTTATAATAAACTGCCATCTTTTGATCATTTGAGAGTCATTGGTTGTTTATGTTATGCATCCACTCTTCATGCAAATAGAACTAAATTTGATCATAGAGCACAAAAATGCATACTTCTTGGATATCCTTTTGGTTGTAAAGGTTATAAGCTTTACAATCTACATACCAAGAAAATACTAACTTCCAGAAATGTGCAATTCTATGAAACTGTACTTCCTTTTACAGATTCTTCATCTTCATCTGATACTGAGTTACTTTTCCCTCAACCCAATACCTTTGATTTCACTGATTGCACTCAGCAACCAAATCCTCTCAATACTTATGCTCAGAATCCAACTACTTCTAGTCCAACACCCAGTACTGTTCTTCCAACAAACATCACTACTCCACCTCCACAGACAACTACTAATCAACCTTCCACATTCATTAATCCTCCTACTTCTCCTCCAAGAAGAAGATCTACCAGAACCATCAAACCTCCTGCCTATCTTGATATTTACCAACACTCTATATCCTCATCCAATAATAACCCTGCTGCAAATTCATTATGCACATCTGGAACATCTAAGTATCCTATATCCTCATATTTGTCCACTGCATCTTTATCTGAAAATCATAACTATTTTACTGCATCAATTTCTTTACTCACTGAACCAAAAACCTATGCTCAAGTTGCACAAGATCCTCAATGGAAACTTGCCATGAGAAAGGAACTTGATGCACTTGAACAAACTAATATATGGATTCTAACTGATCTACCAAAAGATAAACATTGCATAGGTTGTAAATGGGTATTTAAACTGAAATATAAATATGATGGCAGTCTAGAGAGATATAAAGCTAGACTAGTGGCTAAAGACTACACACAGGAGGAAGGGATAGATTACTTTGAAACCTTCTCTCTTGTTGCCAAGATAACTACAGTCAGATTTATAGTTGCACTTGCATCCATCAAAAACTGCTTTATTCACCAACTTTATGTCAATAATGCTTTTTTGCATGGTGACTTAGATGAAGAGGTTTACATGAAACCTCCTTCTGGCTATTGCAAACCTAATGATACAAGGGTTTGTAAGTTAATTAAAAGCCTATATGGCCTTAAACAGGCTTCTAGGCAATGGTTTTCCAAATTAACTCAATGTTTACTTGCCTATGGTTTCACTCAATCTATAGCTGATTGCTCTCTGTTTACCATGCATTCAGATTCTGCATTCACAGCAC